TGTTTGGTGGCTTGGGAGGAGGGTTTGGATACACAGGTTCATATATCCACACATGTGCATTGCAGGTCCCATGTGTTCTCTTGCACTGAGATCCCCAATTCCCCAAAAAAAAAAAAAAAAAAAAAAAAAAAAGAAAAGCTGCCCTCTTTCTTTTTCTTAAATTTTTTTTATTGGAGAACAGCCATGGTCATTGGTTACACATTGCTTTCATGCTAAGATGGCATAGTTGACTCTGTTAAGGAGGACACAGCTCACAGTGGCAACCTTGGTGTTACCAGCAGGACTCTCTAACCAACTGAGCTAACCAGTCACCCCTCTGCCCTCTTTTTTACCTTATCTTATCTCAAGAGATATGGGGAAAATCCACTTCCAGTTACCTCTCTAAATAAAACTGGTTTGGGGGAGTTCACCTCACTCAATTCCAGTTGAGAAATTTGGGAACTTCTGGGAAATTTGGTGCGTAGTGACTGTAAACCCCTGACTCAGAAGAGTTGGAAACATTTAAGGTAATTTTGGTATGCTATTGGAATTGCAGTGTCTGGAATAGAGAAGAGGAGGAAGATAAACACTGATGGTTACGAATGGGTTCCACATCAGGACTGGAACAGTGTAAGAGGAAGAGGAGAAAAAATAAAAGGGTACGATTTGAGGCACTTCAGCTCAAAAGTGCAAATAATCAGGTTTCATCCCATTACTATTTTATTTTGAACGATTGTGACAGCTCTACATAATAGACATGACGATGAGTACACCAGTGGTCAGATCACATTCTTGGATCTGGGTGACTCACTATTGTTAAATGCAACTGGCCTACATTCCACCCTACCACACCCACTCCTTTTCTGTAACTCCACATTGACCAAAGGATGATCTAATCTAAAACCTCTTTTTTTCAGGTATGTATTTGTGTATATGCTTAATTGAATATGTGTGAATATGTACCTGCATCCATCCATACACACATATAATGTATGTATGCATGTAAATATACATGTGTGTTTATTTATATATCCTTATCATGGGACGATAGAAAAAACACTGAACCAAGAGTCAAGAGACCTGAGGTTGTGGTTTTAGTTCTGCCTCCAGTTCCCTAGACTTTAACCAGAATGTTTGCTTATCTTTGAAAGAAGTTTTAGACAACCTGATCTTTTTTATTCCTTTCCATTCTAAAACCATAAACATCTGCCTAGATGAAGTCAGGTACATCTATCTGCTCTCCTCCCAGAAGTCCAATTTAGCTGTCCTTAACAGGAATTATCCCACATTTTTATTAATACACAAACAAAGACTTTAGCCTTTGACAGGTGATTTTCTCCCTCTTCTCCTAGATTCTTCTGCCTTTCCTTCTTATAGAGTCTAATTCTGGGCAGAATTTATCTTTCTCTCATTTTCTTCTGTGTGTAAAATATAGAAATGAAGGGAGGTATTGAAACAAAGATATTTCATTATAGGAAGATTTTTCCAAATACCTCCAGACTTTTGAGTCCATGACTTATTAATATCCAAGAGCTACATCTTTGTCATGCAATACATATTTGCATCACACTGGAGGCCATGTAGCGTACAAAGAAGATGCAGAAATTGGGGGTATGAATCTACACACTGAATCTAGTTCTAGCTTTATTTTCCAAGTCAACAAATATGTAATGAATATCTTCTAAAATGTTAGTTACACAAGTTATAAATGATCTCCACAATAGTCTAGTGGAGGAGGGAGACATTGAACACAAAATTATACCAAAAAATAATCAGCTACAGACATATGAAGTTTTTTGAAGAAAAAGTGGAAAGCATTAAGTACTTAAAATAAGAGGTCTGGTTTCTGAGGAAGAGCTGCCCTCACAAACTAGCTTTGTGGCCTAATTCTGTCACTTTACACTCTAGGTCCTAAAGTTTCTCATATCACAAGGTCCTTCTCATTCTAACATACAGTAGAAAGCCTGAAAGAGGTTTTCAGTGATTTCGCATGTGCTTGGATCTTCCATGAGTTTGTAAGCTCCTCTTGAGTTTTTTCTCCCCTTTTTATGTTTTATTTATTCAATGAATGTTTACCAAGCCAGGGATTACATGATTGAAATTCAGAAATAAAAGTCACAGTCTCTGCTTTCAAGCAGCCATGGTCATATTGAAGAAACAAGCAAATAAACAACATCACATCATGTAGTTGGTTATTAACATGCATATAGTGAGAGCGGTACCGGTGGGGTGCTGGAGTTGCCAAGAGTAGGGGTATCAAAGCTGGTCTTCAGGATGTTTTAGAAGATGACTCCCTGAAGAACAAGGAGTTAGCAAGTGAAGAAGGCAGTGGGGTGGGGGGGAGGTTTATTAGTGCAAATGTTCTGTGTGACAAGGCCCGGTAGTAGCAGATACCATGCTTCTTGCTAGAAAGAGAGTTCTCAATTCAGACTGTTGAATGGGCAGCTGAAGGAGCTGGTGGCATAGGCAGGGGTCAGCATTTGAAGGTTGGGACTGCAGACTGTGAAAACTTTTAAAAGAGTCGTGAAACATCATAAGTCTGTTGGATTTGCAGTGGCTAGGACAGAAAAGAGGGGGAAGGTACATTGTGAAGAATGAATCAAAGGATGGTTCAAACTTGGGGCCTGGGAATTGGGTAGCAGCCTCCTGCAAGAGTCTGAGTGAGAGATGCTGAATGAACTAAGGATTACAGGAGCAGAGATAAAGAGATGAGGGGAGAGAATCAGTAGAAATGTAAAAATGGACTCTAAGACATGATGTGGGGATTGTGAGGAGAAGGAAGGAATGTTGGGTAATTCCCAGAATTCTAGCTCAGCAACAGGTGGGTGGGAGTTTCAATACCTGAGATGCAGATAGAAAGAAAAGGATGAGGTTGGGGATGTGAGGGAAAATATTAGTGCCATATGACTAAGGTTCCAATGGGACATCTATGTGGAGAAATCCAGAGAGAAGCTGAAGAGATGAATCTGGAATATGGGGAAGGGGTGTGACCAGGGAATGTCAATTTGGGAAAAAGCAGTAGTAAACATTTTAAATAAGTTTGTATATATCTTATTGATAGGAATATTGCCCGAGCACAAAGAGCAGATTTAAAGTCCAAACTGTGTAAGCCTTTAATAAATATTTTTAATATTCAATGGATGAAAGAATGAGTGACTAAGAGCTGTTATGAGTAGCAGAGTTCCTATCTAATTATTGTAGTTGTGTGTTATAGTGTATGAATTTGTGTATGTATGAGTGTACACGTATTTATGTATGTGTTTGTGTTGTTATACATATACACTCATATAAAAAATTGAAAATACTTGTATAGTATTACCGTATATCTGCAATAGTCTGATAGGGCTGCCATAACAAAATATCACAGACTGAAAGGCTCAAACAACAGAAATTTATTTTCTCACAGTTTTGGAGACTAAAAGTCCAAGGCCAAGGTGGTCTCAGGATTACTGCTTTCTGGTGAGACCTCTCTTCCTGGCTTATAGACTGTGCTGTCTCACTTGGGTTTTCATAGGACTCGTCCTCTGTTAAAACACATGGAGAGATCACTGGTGTCTTTTTCTCATACGGACACCAGTCCGAGATTAGGACCCCACCCTATGATCTCATTTAACCTTAATTTTCTCCCTCCAGGCCCTGTTTCTAAATAGTCACATGGCATGGCAGTTAGGGCTTCGACAAGCAGATATGGAGCATGGGGGTGGGGAGGTGGGACCGATTCAGTCCTCAACAACATCAGTGCATTTGACATCCAGATTGAGTTTTTTTTCTGACAAAGGATAGTCTCCTTGAAAATAAGAGATTGTTCCTTCATAAAAGAGGATATCTATGTATATGGGGAGAAATACATCTCTTAAAGGTCAGAGCTAGAGTTTACTTGTTTACAAAATAAGCATAATTCTTGTTTACTTTACCTGATTATACAGCAATTCCTACCACAGATTTTCTCTTTCATTTCAGAGAGGGTTATGCCACTTGCTAATAGATAAACCTTTAAATAATTTTATGGATTGCTATTGTCTATTGCTCTACGGAAACCAGCCTGGAAAAGCCAGAAAAGGTTGACATCCCACAAGAATGTCATACCATGAAGGTGTAAACTTAAAGCAGAGATGCTTGTAGAAAACCGTGTTGCATTCCTGGCATGTACGCGCTTGCAATAAAGTTAACTTTCACTTAATGGTTATAGTTCATGTAGGGGGTATTCCAGTTTATTTTGCGCCTTCTCTGTTTTAACCTCTTTGTACACTCGGTTCTCCTTTGGCCTTGGCCTCCGCGGTGGTGTTCCGTGTGCAAGCTCCTTGGGATGGGGAAGCCCTCGCCCTGGCGGCCAGGTGACAGAGACAGGGTGGGAACCCGCGGAGCTCTTAGGGCGCGGAGCCTCTCGCATACCATTCCCCTCCCACCACCATCCCAAGGCCGGGAGGCGGAGAGGGCTTTAAACTTCGCTCCAATCCGGAGCCGGCCCTTCCCGGGGTCCCCCTGCTGGGCGACCGGCCCGCCGCGGACCGACTTGGAGGAACTTTGCGGCGCTCCGCGTCAAAGCCCGAGGAGGCGAAGCGCTGCCCTCCTCCCCGGTCGACCCCTCCCTCTGCCACTGCCTCCCGATCCCTGCCCAGCCGGGAGCACTGGTGATAGGACGAGCCCGGGGCGTGCATTGTGTGTATGCAAACCAGAGCTCCGCTCCCCAGGGCTGCCCGACCTGGGCCAGGGCTGCAGCTGCGGCTGGCGCTGCCCTCGCCGGAGCCGGGCACTGTCATGCCTCCGCCGCGAGGCGGGCCGCTGCGTCCCCAAGCCGCTATATAAGCGGGGGCAAGGGGACACCCGGAGGGGCTGAAGATGAAGGTGCCCGCGCACGGGCCCCCGCTGATTGCCAACCCCTCCCGAGCCCGCGCCGGGAGCGAAGCCCGCGGACGCCGAGGACCCGCCTTCGCCGCAGTAGCAGCTGGAGCAGCGCAAGAGGCGGCAGCTGCGGCGGCGGCGGCGGAGGCGCGGGTCGCGCGAGTGCGCAGAGAGGCGGCGGCAGCTCGGGGGCCGCCGCTGCCCCGGCTGCCATGAGTTGTGCGGAGGTGATGTATCACCCCCAGCCGTATGGAGCGCCCCAGTATCTGCCCAACCCTGTGGCAGCTGCAACCTGCCCCACAGCCTACTACCACCCGGCGCCCCAACCTGGCCAGCAGGTGAGTCACCGAACCCGGCAGCCCAGCGGGGGCGGGAGCGTGGGCGTGGGCGAGGGGCACGGAGAGTATCGGTGTGGGGCTTCGGCGACGTCCCGCCGGGACCTGTGGCGCGGAGGATGCTCGGGGACCTGCGGAGCGCCTGTCAGCAGAAAGCTCTCAGAAGAGAGGAGGAGAGGCTTCGGGAAGGGACGAGCAGCCGGGTGGAAGGGTGGGGATTCGAAGTGAGGCACTACCTACCTGGCTGGGGGCTTCATGGAGCTGTTGTCACCGGAGCTCAGAGGCTGCCTTCGTAGCCACCCTAGCTCTTAGGGCTCAGTTCTCTGAAGCTCTCCAAGGGCATCTGGCTTAGGAGTATGTGAGTAAACTTCCTTTAAACCAAATATTTTGTTTCCTTTGGAAAGGTAGAGTGTTTCAGGGTTTTCTTGATTAAGGGAGTGAAATATGTCACTGACATGGGGAGGCTGCCTGCACAGTGATCTCATGGAATGACCTTTTTGGGATTTTGGGGTGGAACCTGGGTCTAGTGTACCGTCTATCAAAAGTTACTAGAACTTCTGTGCGGAGTGTGTCTTCCTAAGACTGTGACTTAGAGGACAGGGATTGATCCCCAAGTTCCTCATTCAAATTTTTTTTTTTTTTTTTAGATTAAGGATGGGGGGAAGGGATGGGACGTTGGTTAATAACATGTAAGTTTCAGGTATAAAATTCTATAATACATCTTCTGCATATTGCATTGTGTGCTCACCACCCAAAGTCTAATCTCCTTCCCTCGCCATGTATTTGACCCCCTTCTTCATCTTTGCCCCACCCTCATTCACTTTTAATTCTATCAAAGCACATTTCAGTCTGTTGGAAGTGTGTTGTGGAAGTGTGTGTGTGTGTCCGTGTGTGTCCGTCCCCTTCTGGCCAAGAGGTAACCTTGGATCACTGGATAGTGGGTCTCTAAGAGGAACTGGGAATGCTATTGATAAAAGGGCTTGGGAAGCAGAGAGATGATCCAGTTCCTTCAGATGGCAGATAGGGTGCTGGAGAATTTGGCACTAGGTACTCCTGGGCATTCCTCTCTGGACACCAACAGAGTCTGTGTCAAGGCTTAGTTAGCTCTATAGAAAACACATAAAACACATATATGGGCATGTGGCACTGGGTTATACCAAAAGAGGGTCCCCAGGCTCTAGGAGTTAGGATGGGTTGATTTGGTGAGACTGAAAAATACACTTATAGAGACACTTATCAGGGAACTAGATATGATTAGAAAATTACCACCCACAGAATTTATTGATTGATTTATTTTGCTTGTTTAGTTCAGTAGGAACCATATGTTTTGTGGTAGTCTTAAGGGTTTGGCTCCTTAATTAACCTGGCCTTTAATTTCTACATTTTCTTTACCTCTATCTCTTTGCTAGATTTATAGTGCTGCTTTTTGGAAAGAAATTATAACTTCTGTTTAAAATTTAGGATATGCAAAATTCATCTGATTCTGAAAGGGTACATGCTTCAGATTTATCTGCTAAACAGTATAACTTACCTAGTACCAACCAGGGCAAAAGATGAAGGAACCCCACTTTCTTGCTGCTATTATTATTATTATTTAATATTCAGCAGCTTTAGCATTTCAAAGATGATTTTTGGGGAGGGGGATGGGAAAAGATTTTGTAGTTTGTGGTCAAGGGTGACAGTTTTGGTTATATTATTTGCTTTTCTTTGGCTTTAAATATAAAATATATAAGTAATGGAGAAAACCATGTAGATACAAGTTAGGCAAGTGAGGCAAAGAGACGCTGGAAATCAGTTTATGTGTTTTATAAACACCGTATCCCAGATGAAGCACTCTTTCTTCTTTTCCTTTCTTCTATCTCAAAGACTGTAAAGGCCTTCAATTACCAATTGGAATGTGGACAAGCAACAGACTCAAACTTTACTAAACACTCAGAAAAGCATTTTTCCCCTTAAAAAATAACTTGAACTAGTAGAAGTTGTGGATGAGGTTTTATTTTCTAGAGTTGTGAAAATAATTATATTAAAGTATGAATCTGTGCTGGGGGTTAGAATTGTAATATTTTTGAGCTATAAAATAAAATTCGGTGTCAGAAAAATTATAAATCACTAATCATAAAATTTAGATTTTGATATAACTCCAGTCCTTTAACATGTACCATAGCCCTAAGACTCAGTCTCCAGATTTCATTTTTTGCTCCAAATTTCATATTTTTGCTAAGACACTCAACAAACTAAGGATGAGTTTTCCCTTTTATTGGATTTGTTCACATGGATGAGTGGCACATATTACTAAATAATGGTCAACTTCTGTACTGTGAACTTCTGTAGATATTGTTTGAGTAGATATTAGGCTGAGTTGACCTTAATAACTTAGTTGAGAGGTGTGCTTGGAAATTTTCATATTGCTTTTACCAAAATAGCCTGTTCAAGATTATCTGGTTAAAAAAAAAAAAGCAAAGAAACTATTTGAGTATAACTGACTAGCAAATTAAAAAGAGACTTGGTAGGGTAACTACTGTTCTATTACTGTCAGGAGTTTATTTTGATGACCTATATTTTCTATTGGAAAAAAGAGTAAATCAGGAAATTCTTATCAGGCTGACAGCATTTTTAGACAGTGCGGTGCGTGGGTGAAGTGGGACTAATATTGACTTGGCCCTCATGCAGTCATCTGAGAATACATATTTTGGTTGTTTTTGCATTCCATAAGGTTTTATCATTATTATCCATGAAGATTGTTTTCTCCGTACATGGGAAGTGACCCCTAATAGCATCTTGCCTGGGAGACACAAATAAGGGCTACAACTTCTACTGCGTTTGTTGAGGGAAAAAAAGAGGAAAAGAAGCAGAAAAGAAAATGAATAGAGTTATAAAGAAAGTTTAATGGTCATTTATAAAATGTTAGAAAAGAGAACATTCAAGTTTTATGTTACTTCTATATTCAATCATAGTAGTGTACCTTTGAACTGATTTTTTTCTCAATTCTGTATAGCTCTGAAGTCTTTGTAAATTGGCATATTAAAATAGTTTATTATTATGAATTTTAAACATAGGTATATTTTTCCTCTTAATGTATGATTATAGACTTGACAATTCTTTTTGAAATAATAGAACTTCACACTCCAGGCATGTGTACTGTCAGCCTTTCTCATAAAGTCTCAAATGTCCACTTGAAATTTTAAGTTTAGTTGTTTTTATTGAACAATTATACATTGCGGGGTGGGTAATAGGTTAGTGTCTTAAAAACAGTTAACTGCATGTAAATCAGGCTGAACTGCAGTGTATTACTTAGGCATGCAGTAGGCTAAATGAATCAAAGTAACATGTAAATATGCCTGAAGAGTAAATTTTATAGTCCCTGATGTTAATTCCTAGAAATTGTGTGGCTGTGCATAAATCTTCTAGTGTATTCTGAAGAGTCAGCATTTGCTGAGGGATGCTAAGCTCGCTGGTCCTCGTGCTCACGGCCACTTCATAGACTTAATACATCAGTCCCTAATATCTCCTCAGGAGAACTCTTGACTTAGCCTCTCAGCACATGCTCAGAAGGCATGATGACACAGTAGAACGTGTGCAGAAAGGAATGCACTTGTATTCTAACAGTGAGCGTAGGAACCAAGAAAAAACTTTTGAAATATGTGTCAGGAAAAATTGAAGGAAATAATATGAAATCATAGATTCCCTTCATACCCAGTGGATTTCTTAAATGTAGACAGTCTGTTGTTGTCTGATCCCCCTCCCCCATTTATATTCATAATATTAACATTAGGAAGATACTTAAAGCAACCCTTTCAGAATTGTGTAGTTTCTAGATGCGGTAGTCAAAGCAGAAAACAATCACTAGTTTTCTAATTGTGTGTAGAAGTTTTTAACAATCACATTCTGGGCTTCGTATAAGTTAGAGCATATTTACTCTGTCCTCCTCAAGGCTGACGACTGGGTGAATCTGCACGCATGCTTTCACTTAAAAGAATTAAATGCCCTTGGGAGGCAGAGCTCCAGTTTTAAGTTTGTAAGGAGTTTTCTCAAGCTCTTTCTCTGGAGAGACTCGGCCACCTTGGTTAGGTCATAAAACCTCTCTGAGATTCTGTTTGTCAGTGGAAAACAAACAAACAAACTGGAAAAACATGTTCTCAAGCCCTCTTTTTACAAGTGGGAAAATGGACATTCATAGGGCTGAAATGCCTGGCGAAAGATCTCAAAGCTAATTGGTGACAAAATTAGAATCATCAGAATTCCCTACTCCCCAATGTAGCATCTTTCCACCATGCCATGCAGTCTCCTAAGCATTTTTTCTTTTGCTATTGCACAATAAGCTTATTTTTGTCTTTCGTGCTCCAAATCAACTTTTTTGATAAAGAAGATTAATATGCAGTAGATTCTTTGGCCTTGGAGCCTGAAATTCTTTCCAAGTCCTTGGTAGTGTACTTTTTTATTTTAGGCATTCCAAAGTCCTTTTGCAAGCATTTGTATTATGCTAATGACTTTTGCTATCCATGCTACATCCTTTGTTGATGAGGCAGAATATCCACTTAGCAAATGAACATTTATTTATTTAAAATAATATGTAGGAAGTGGTATTAATAGTCAGCTTTAAGTGCCTCATATATCATTGCTATTCCAACATAAGTTTAGATTCGTTAAGAGCAAAGAATACAAATATGTCTTAGATAGTGTCAAGACATAGTCAGCTTATTTAAGGTGGAGGATCTAATTTTCTTGCAACCGTAAGCAAAGACTTAAGTAGATTTATAAGAGTTCATACAGGACTTCTTTGAGAAAGAACAGCTCCTATAATTCCACACTATACAAATTAAGACTTAGAAGCTTAAAGTGCCCCTACAGTTTTATGTTCTTAGTAACTTTCGAGCCAGAAGATTCAAAGCTAGAGAAAAAAATTAAACTTTAAAATAACTAAACTGAACTGTTGTCTCTGGCAGTCAACCAGAACGGAGATTACAATAATGATAGTAAAAGCAGGCTAGAAATCTATAAAATCA